TGATCAAATTAGTATGCAAGATTTCACATGCTTAAGTGAGTGAATAGAACAATTGATTGACTGTACTAAATTTTGGTAGAATATGTCACCTTATGGAGCTGAGCCTCACCAACAAACTAATGAAGTACCACATGAATTTTGTTTTCCCTATTCATTTGTTTATTTTTTTATAAAAGTTAGAAGGCGCCTATAAAATAAGCAATATCCAAATTTATATGGAAAGTGAAGTAAAGAACAAGTGGATTATTCATTAAACTTCATTCGGTTTCTGTTTACGGTTTTTTCTTTCTAAAATTTTATAGTAAAACCATGTTTTAGTTGGATTCGATGTCTTCTTAACAAACTTATTTATCAATGCCTACAGTAGTACATTTGTAGTTAGCCCTTTATTAAAAAACAATAAGAACTAAAATAAGAATAATGATAATGTATTCCAATTTGCATCCCAAATTTTATTTGCCAAGTGAAGTGACATTGTTTTTGGGGTATATGTGAATTATGTGATTATATGGTCTATGATGTGCAGCTCAAAATTAGAGTCATCAGTTTAGAATACAAGACTTGGATATAACGCAGTATGCTTGCAATACGTATCACTCTAATTGAACAAAAACTATTTAACATTAGCTGGTTCACCAACGACCTGAGGTCAATGTCAAGGCTGATTTTAATCACTCAACCTCCATAGAATTTAGAATTAAACCAATAATAAAATGTCGGCCGCTGACTTAAAACAAAAACAAGACAAGACAGGTTTACCTCAGGATCAATAGCAGAAAGACTTTTTTTAACGTCCTCTGAAAGCAAATTACTCGATTTCCGATCCTTTCTCAATCTTTCCTCTTTAATTTCTCTTCAATGAACAATCATAAAAAAACACAAAATAAAGTGCGTTAGAGAAAACTGAAACACTAGTCCAGCACAAATGCGTGTAGCGACAGTGAATTTACCTAGCTGAGAGTGTGACATGAACGCCTCGAATTTCGAAGGAGAATGCAGTGGAAAACCAATGCGAGAAGCTAAGTATCAATTGTTCGACTTTGACTTCTTTGACGAATAAGCTATTAGACGACTCTTCGTCTAGCAATTGATTGATACACTGAGAGTTAAGAGTAAGATTCTTCAAAATCGCGTGAGATTTTATGAACCCTAATTTCAGCTCCAGCTCTGGCTCACCTTGCAGCCATGGCTGCAAGAGAGAAGATAGCTTGCGGTGGATTATATTCGTTAAAAACATTATGGACTGATTAGTTAAGGAGATTTGCCATGGCATAAAATGTGAAATGATTCTCGAGACACAATCAGAAATTTTGTTTTCATGCCCTAATTGACAGAGCGAGGTTCAACCCAGAGCGGGAAAATTAACTGACGGAGAATAACTATAGGCGGTGGTTACACGCCTCTTGCACCGATGTTCATCGTTCTAATCTGCTTTATAACGGCTTGTTTTCTTCTTTGTCTCATTCCATCATTAATTGGGGTGATTATGGTATTAACATGATAATGTAGGGCAATAGGGTCATTCTTCAGTTTATTCCTGTAACGTTAACGACTAAAACTAACAGTCCAGGAATTTTTTTCAGAAAAAAAAAAATGAAATGAAAGAAACTCTCAAGTGGTCCGGTATCATTACTGTAACAAAAACACAAGGGCATTCCCCTATACTATCTTACAGCAATTAATAGCAAAATTGTTAATACAATCCATCGTAGATAGCCCAGGCGGTTAAATTGAATGGGATATTGTGGATAGGTATACGATTATCAATTCGATTCTACAGCATTATTTATGATAATATTATTCGTGATCATTAATATCACATTTGTTATGTTATACTAGATTATTTGTGATAATGTTATCCCACCACTAATATTACATTTGTTATGTTATACTATATTGATATTTAGGTTCATCTAAATTGAATTGAATTAGTTAAATAATATAAAATTGAACTATAAATAATAATATTATATTTGATGTGACATTGGATTAGGCAAAATTATGTATATTGTTAGTGCATTCGAAATTTATCATTAAGCTAGATTAAACAAAAATTATTTAATTTTAAATATTAAAAATTAATTTATTTAATTATTAATATTTATTGTTTGTTAATTTGTCTACCAACTAATATCCTGTGTTTATTGGAAATTTTTAAATATCTTATTACAAAGTATTAAGCCTATGTGGATTATAAACCTCCAAAAACTAATATTTTTTTTATATAAATATGAATTTGAAGGTTTGGATAAATTAAAATGTAACACATGGGTTTGAAAAAGTGACAACTCTTACCTTTGATTGTTTCAACAAGTTAAAATTCCTCCTAAAAGAAGGGTAGTTCCTTAAAATTACCCTTCTTCCTTCTCACTTTAATCTATGATACACATATTTAGATTCGTAACACTTTGACCCATAGATTCTAAAATTGATACTCCTCACCTAATGATTCCCAAATAGTGGAATTTTTCAAAAGACCTGTTTGATTTGTGATTCAAAAAAAAAAAATTTTTAATTAAAATATGATTCAAAATTTTGAGTTGTATCTTAATATTTTCAATATTTGAAAATGTGTTAAATATAAAATTTAAAAACTATTTTCAAATTAAAAGCTGTTGAAAACCATTTAATCGTTTTTTTAATTTTAAACTAGTTTTTAATATTGTATTCGAAAACTCTTTTTGAAAACAATTATACTCATTTTTATCAAACACATTTTCATAAAATTTGTTGTATTCTTTGTTTTAAAAAACAAACAACTGTAATTAATTTCTATATCAATAGGCCCTTATTTTCACACAAACAAAAAAAAAAAAAAATCTTCAAATTAAAATTAATATTTATTAGATCATAAATATTTTAAAATAAACTTACTGTAAATATTAATATAAATCATTAAAAAAAAATAACATGAGATACATCTCACAATATATATCTTTAATTGAAATAATTTAATAGCCAAAATTTAAAAAAAAAAAATCTATTAATTACTATAAAAACTTTCAATATTAAAAAAAAAAAAAAAAAAAAAAAAAAAAAAAAAACCTCAAAGTATATTAAACGAAGCAATAATCAAGTGAAAAAAAAAAATGTCAAATCTATAACGTGAGTAGTGTAAAGTTTAGAATATATGGATCAAAATGCAGTTTCTAAGTATGAAGTATGAAACGTAATTATTTTAGATGACGTGTAAGATGAAAGGATATTTTTGTTTTTTAATCACTGATTGTGTTTTTTTAGGAGAAATGTCCTTGTTTAAAACTCAAGTTAAAATGTACTTTTCAAATCTATAGATTTAAAGTATATATACGAGAAATGTTAATGATCCAAAATTTACCCAAAATTAAGATATAATTAGATAAATTTAGGATATAAAGGATTATTGTGTATTAAGGCAGGGCCGAGTCAATGACCAGCCAAGAACCGGGGCTTCCCTTAATTAATACAGGCTAATTATAATACAATAAAAGGAAATTACTAAAATTTGCATCATTGCATGGCACCTTGCCAGCATCTTCTTAACAGAAAGAGTAAACGACATATTCCACCCAAGGTTTGGACGAAATCGCAAGTTAGTACCATGGTTCTATTTATTCCAGATTCCCACCCTTAAAGTGACGAAAAAATGTTTGATGTAATGGTAAAGGGGTAAATGGTCATTTTACATGGGCGGCGCACGTTAGTAGACCACTGCCTCTAACAGTCTTCCCGCGCACGTTAGTAGCCATCGTTCTCGAGTTTTCGCTCTTTTCTGGCGATTCTTCCACCCAAAATCACCCTTGTCACCACCATTTGAACCCCCATCCTCCCCTCTACAAAACCATACCATTCACAACCCCTCATCACTTGCCGATCTCTAGCCACGGCAATGAAAAATGGTCGATGAACACGAACTCTCGGCCGATGAATGATGACGAAACAGTTGTTGGGGACATAGGAGTTTTATAGATTTGGGGACGGTGGTTGCATTGGTGGTGTCCAATTGGATTTTCATTGCCGAAATCGACCTGAATCCGGTGAAGAACACCGAAACCCTAAGTCTAACGGTATCGGCGATTAGAGGGGCAAATGAGTCGGGAACCAGAGAGGTTTTGGACGATGGACTACGGACTACGGGGAAGCTGATGGAGGTGACCAGAGGGTTCGACGTCATCGGAAACAGCCCAGATCGGGCTATTTTCGGTGAGGGTGTATAGTGACTGAGGGTGTTTTTGATATAATTTAAAAATAAAATGGTAAGTTATAATTCTACTAATTTAGGGGTTAAAATATAATTTATTAATTTAGGTTAAGGGCATTATGGTAATTGCACCTTCTAAATCCTAAAAATTCATAACACTGTTCCTATGAAACCAGAATATGTCGTTTACTCTAACCGAAAAGAACAAAGTACGCTATTGGCCACAGACCAAGTCAAAAGTCAATATTTGCTTTGATTAACAAAGAAAGTCCTACTATTTCCTATTTCAGTACCCGCAAACTACAATCGTACAATTTCCGCTTCCTCCATTTCAGGACCAGAAAACGACCTAACTAACAATCTACGACGCATCATCATCTCTGTTCATGGTCTTTCTCGATTTCCTACTGCCACCTAACCCTCTTTTCCCGGATTCCATTTGATCAAAACTCTAAGTCAACGTGGCAAGATCTGATTGGATGTATCAAAATAACCATAGGGAAACAAAATTCTTTTACCTGTCTCCAACGGGATTTGATTGTAGAACCAAATAGTATTGGTCATCTTGTAATTTGCTATTATTAATTTATTCATTTCCATTACGGAGATTTTATACCTCTTAAACTCTATCTCTCTCTTTCTGTTTATACTTCTTTTCCTTTCATTTTATTATTGAAGCTTTCGGTTACCTTCACATCTGGTTTTCCTCTTTATTCTTTATAAAATATTACACACTGATCTTCTTCTTCTTTTTAATTTATTTGTTGTTTCTGCACACCAAATTGTGTTTGTTGTATTTGATAATAAGAAGATGAATGCAATGAAAGGAGGGTCAAGAGCTGGGCGTGTATTTTCAGAACAAAACAGCTTCCATGGCCAGAAATTTGGAAGGCTGAGTAATTCAGACCCTATAGAGGATGATTTCATGACGCAACAAGTCAACAACAATTCATCTCCATTTGGTTTAGATAGTTCTCCGTATCATGAGACATCTTCTCCGTATTCGAAGTCTCCATGGTCCGCTCATCACGAGGCTTCGTCTGCTCCTGGTAATAGTTTCTCGCCAAATGTACTGATAGGATCATTAGTACGCGAAGAGGGTCATATATACTCACTAGCGGCCTCTGGTGATCTCTTGTATACAGGCTCTGATAGCAAAAATATTAGGGTTTGGAAGAGCCAGAGGGAGTTTTCTGGGTTTAAATCCAACAGTGGGCTGGTTAAAGCAATCGTTATTGCTGGTGAGAAGATCTTTACAGGTCATCAAGATGGGAAGATTAGAGTTTGGAAGGTTTCTTCTAAAGATGCTAGTGTTCACAAGCGTGTTGGGACTTTACCAACCTTGAAGGATTATATCAAGAATTCCCTGAAGCCAAGCAGTTATGTGGAAGTTAGACGCCATCGTAATGCTCTATGGATTAAGCACATTGATGCAATAGCTTCTCTTAGTTTGAGTGAAGACAAAAAGCTTCTTTACTCGGCTTCTTGGGACAAAACGTTCAAAGTCTGGAGAACCTCGGATTATAAGTGTTTAGAATCCATTGTGGCGCATGATGATGCTGTCAATTCCATTGTAGCGGGATTTGATGGTTTAGTGTTTACAGGATCAGCTGATGGCACAGTCAAGGTCTGGAGAAGGGAAATGCAAGGGAAAGGAACGAAACACTTCTTTTCGCAGACTCTATTGAAGCAAGACTGTGCAGTTACAGCATTGGCTCTTAGTCCAGATGCGAAAGCTTTTTACTGCGGGTCATCAGACGGGTTAGTTAATTTCTGGGAACGTGAAATGCATCTCTCTCATGGTGGTGTTTTGAGAGGCCATAAATTGGCGATTCTTTGCTTGGTCACAGCCGGAAATCTTGTGGTTAGTGGATCAGCCGATATGGGAATATGCCTGTGGAAGAGAAAGGACAAGGAACACATGTGTTTATCGATGTTAACAGGCCATAGTGGACCTGTCAAATGTTTAGCAGTGGAGAAAGAGGAGGGATCCATTTCTGGTGAAAAGCGGTGGATTTTATACAGCGGCAGCCTGGACAAGTCAGTGAAGATGTGGCGAGTATCGGAGCAAGCACCGCCAATGGCACAGCAGAGTCATATACGACAATATTTACCAGATGAGCATGGTGGTGGTACTGCACCCACCTCGTTGCATTGTGCTCCTAGCTTCACTCCCCAGGGGAGAATAAGCTAGAAAAAGTAACTAGAGGCAAGCGTTCAACTCAGTAAATTTGTTTTATTACAACTCATGTAAAGTATATAAATTTGAGGAGATACAATAACTATGTTTAAATGTTGTTTAATTGGTGGACTTTGAGTTGTGAATCCAAACTTCTTATCGTATATAGATTTTTCAAGAAATTGATTGTTGTTGAATGTGCATATGATGAACCGCAGATGGTGCAAGCAATTATTTAATTAGGGCAAGTAATTTGATCAGTTTGAACACATAAACCTTAACGAAATTGCCTACTTCTTTTCCATTTCTTGACTTCAATTTGTGCATGTCTTCCACCGCCACAGAAAAAGCAATTATAAAAAATTTGTCACACTTTAATTTTCGGAGAATTTTATTCCACAAAAGAGATTAACACAGAATCACCAAAAAGATTATATTTTCTTACTGGTGTTGAAAATTCTAAATTTCTAATATATAAATATATTACTGAAGGTGTTTAAATCAGTTTACGTGCACCACAACTAATCATCTGGTACTTGAATAAGCCGGGTAAAAACTCAAGAAGCTACCTCTATTAGCAATAAAAAAGAGACTCGAACTCGAAACCTCTTAAATAGATACGTTCATGTCTCTAACGAACTACTCGACCAATGTCTAATTAGTATTAGTTATTGTATTTCCCGTACTTTCAAAACTCATCAATGAGTTGGATTCAGATTGAAGATCGTTAAAATAATTTATAGAGATCACACCTCAGACAACAATTTAACAATAATTCTACAATTAAATAAGGATAAGTAATAAGAATGTTGTAAGCCATTGACCTACGTTACTGGTAGGTATTGTTATCAGATTAATAAATAACCTCGAATCATAATCTAAGGAGTATGATCAACCATCGGATTATATATATGATTCAAGTACTAATATTAATTTATTCTATATAATGAACAATAATGTTAATTGAATTTCCTTTTAGACAATCTTAGACGGCATAAAAGTTCAGAAAGTATCACCATGAAGATTATCCATGCAAGTTTCCCTTGCTTTTAAAAGTCTGGAATGAGTTGGAATAAGACTCCTTAAGAGTAAGAAGTTTGTTAAATAGATGGTGGGAATAGACCTATTTGTCGTTAAACAAAAGTCTTCTCCATCGTGAGCTTAGAAAAAAAATCTTTTGCATTCTGCCTTTTAGGTGCAAGAAACAGTTTCTTCATAATTTTGTATGCATTATTGTTGATCATATCTATTTACAGATTATGTGTTTTGGACTTTTGGATGATACTATGAGCTCAGCATGGCTACAAGAGTCAAAGAGGAAGACAGAGAGAACCAAAAATTTTGGTCCAGTTTGCTTGACAATCAGAAGGATAACAAGAAAATGGAAGGAAGTAATTTATTATCTTAAATCAACTGGCCATAATCAATTCTATTAAATTTATGTGGTTTGAAGTTGACATGTGAGTGGAAAAAGAAGAAAAAAAAACAAAAAAATGCAGGTAGCTAGCCACTATCTTCTGCAGAATAAATAATCCAATTGACTTTGTTTATGTTAGGAAAAAGAAGAAAATTGAACCAAAACGGTGGTTACGTTCAGCATGGGTTTGATTTATACAAGAGGTAAACATAATAAAAAAATGAAAATTTATAAAAAGAAGGAATAAAAGTTAGCCGAGAACCGACCATAATGGAGAAAAGCAACCTGTAAGAGTAGTTAATTACTTGATATCAAAGAATGAATGAAGGAGCCTCCAGGTCCTCCACCAGTAATTATTATACACCGACACTTAAAAGAAAATCAGGAGTTAAATGAATTAAACGCACCACCTTGAAAAAAATGCAAATTTTCGTATGCTTATTTATATTTAGAACAACGCATGCATCTGCTTCTTCTTCACATAGATATATATATAATGTGGTCCTGCAACAGTAGTGACAATGAAGATATATATATATATATGGCTGAAGTTGTGAAATTTTCTTTTCAAAGAAGCAATAGCAGTAGTTTGACTTAGACATTACATGAAGCAACTTCAAGGCAAACAAAGTTTGGCATTGATTTGATTCATGCATGTGAAATTTTAGCTGTGTATTAGAAGCTTTAACAAACCTGCAATTATAAGTCTTTAACTTGATTTTCAAACCTTTTCAAGAAAGTTATATACAAGTACTATGCTTCGACTGGAAAAATAACTCCATAAAGAATATTAAGTAAACAAACGCATGGGAAAAAAAAATACTTTAATTGGATTGGACAATATCTGAGGCAATAGAATGGAACCTTCATAAAATGGTATTAGAAAATATTAAAGCACGGGAACGACCTATGACTGTCACAGAATGTGGAAACTGAAGAACATTAATATGGTAACTTTTCCGTTTTTTGCCCTTTTTATTGACTTTTTGGGTTCGAACCTTAAGTCAGCTATCACATTTGATTTAATTTAAAACATTGGGTTTGTAGGATATTCAATGCTAGACCTCCGAATATTAGTTGAGGGAGACGCATGTTAGTCCAGGCATCCCGATTATTAAAAAAAAATAATAATAATAAATGAAAGATGGTAACCTTTCTTAATCATGGCATTAATAAATAATTATATAAATCAAGTAAAGTCATTATAAAAAAAAAAAAAAAAAAAATTTGTTAAAATAAAGTTATAGAAAAAGAGTGATGTGGGATAAAAATTGAATTGAAATCTCTTATCCGCCTAAAAGTTAAAGCAAATCTGAAAGATTCTTCATAATTTAAACATTTTAAATTTGAGTGAAAGGCCTAAACTTGGGCCAGTGAACTTGAAACTTTTGTGGGTATAGATGGATCCTTGTGGTGGTGTGGCCCATTACTAACTTTCTATTAGGCCATTTTTCCAACATAATGAGTGAGATTGGAAAGATTTTGATGACCCAGATGATGAAATCGAAAATCACGCATTGAAGTTGGTGTCTAATGAAACATTTCTTGGTTTTTTCTTTCTTTTCAACTACTGATGTACACATCCAAGCTCTCTACAAAATAATCAACATAGTGCTTTCAACAGACCAATTTTACCAATTTTGAAGTGTTCGAATGGTTAGATAGAAACTCTTGAATGTTAATAGAGATAACTAATGAACTCTTATCAGATAGATAGTTATTGAGGTACACGTAAACCGACCAAATACTCATACTCCTTTTAACTTCAGGCATGAGAATAGGGTAATCATAAAAAAGAGATCATGATTCCTTACCTACACGGAAACTAGGTATAGCCATTGAGCTATAAGTTTAAGGGTGAGTTTGGTTCAGGGAATATTGGATTACTGTAATCTTATATTACCTTAAAGATTACTAGGAATTGTTAAGAAAATGTGTTTTGTTAGTTAGTGGGTATGTTATATTAATATGTTTGGTTAAGGGAAATAAATTGGTAAGTATGTTATTTAAATGACTAAATTGCCTTCTTTTTAAATATTAATATAATATTATTTTTATTATTAATTTTTAAATAATTTCTTTTAACCCTCAATATTTCAAATTTAGCTAAAACACCCCACTTATATAAAACTTTAATTTATGACAAAATCACCCCCAACCCCTACCGCCACAGCAACCCACAACCGAAAGTCGCCGTGAGTAGCTCCCTGTGACCACGAGGCTCCGATATGACCTTTTTTGACCAAATCCTTGGCCATTATCGGCCAGATCTGGGCGAGATTTGACTGTTACCGTTAACGGCCAGATCTATTCTAGATAAAATAGATCTGGCCTGATATGGCCGTTTTCGGCCATCAAGATGGCAGAAACAACCATATCGAAGCCTCTCAGAGCCTCCCAGCGAATCTCCGTCATTTTTAAGTACTCTGGTGACTTTTCGGAGGTGGTCCGTGGTGGTTGGCCCGCTGTCAACGGTGGTGGTCTGTAATTTATTTTAAATATAATGACATTATTGTCAAAAAACTTAATTAAACAAGGGTAAAATTGAAATGATATATTAATGTAAATTTATTTTAAAACAGGGGTATTATTGTCTAAAATTTTTATTAATAAATGATGTAACTGTAACAAAAATAAGATTATCAAGGTAATCTTACAATATCTAAGAAAATGGAGGTAAACAAATTATATTCAATATTACTAATAATAACAACTATTGATAATGTAACATTACTGAAATCTTATATTATTTAATAATTAAACATAATAATCAAATAATATAAGATGGTATAACCTTAATATTCTTTTATTACCTATAACCAAAACCCCTAAAAGTTGAAACTCATCCCAACCCAAAGTCCAAAGTGTTATCTTATCGCCTTCAAATTCGAAAAGTGAAGTCGAAGGCAAGAAGACCCAAATCCGGAAACTATACAGCCCGGAGTGGCCCTTTGAATACCTTTTGTTAAACCCACTCAATCGCCTCTAGAGATACCAACAACACGATGTAAAAGACAAAAGTTCCGTGGACCCCACCTGCAATTAACTAATTTTTTATTTTAATATTTAATAAATAAAAATAAAAAAACTTCAGATTCCCCACTCCTAAGCACAGCTCTACAGCTATAGCTACAGCTACAGATGCTGCTGGTTTTCCTTTTCCTTTTACTGTCATTTTTAATTTTTCCCACACCCACACCCACACCCCCTGCCCCTCTCCAACTCCAAACACTCCCTTCTTCTATATTATTTCGCTTTCTTTCATTTTCCATCTTTCTCTTACTTTATTCTAATTCTTGGTCACCAAAATAATACCTGTCAAACCCCTTCAAATTCAATATGAGCTTTGAGGGATATTTCTATTAAAAAATTAGAAAAGAAAGATTGTCTGAACCGGAGAAAGAATGTCACCGCAGGGTGCTTTGCCTGAAGATGGGATCCAGTACTCTTTCGCCACGGAATACGAAGGACCGCCGCTACCATACAATATTCCACGGGCTGTCCCGATTAACGTCCAGAAAATACCAGTGGCCGCCGTCGTTAAGCAAGTGTCTCTCTCCGATAAGTTGGCGCTTCCGGTCGTGCAGCCGATAGTATCGGCCGATAAGTTGAGTAAGAATTTCTCTAAAGAGCTCAAACCTAATTCGGTTGTTGATTCTCGCGATTGCTGTGTTTCTAAAGAGACTGAACTAAAATCTGAAACAACTGTGTCTCCCACGTCTGTTATTGAGAGAGCAACTGATAATATCAACTGCGTATTGTCCGGTGAGTTGAGTAGCTCGGGCGCGTTAGAGTTTTCAAATTTTGTGTCTGGTGATTTAGTTAATAGTTCAAATGCGTTTAATCGAAGTAATGAAAATTTGCATTCTGGAATCATTGAATTTTCTGATAGTTTTGAGAAATCAAGGGACTGTTCAGGGAGATTGGGAAAATCTAGCTGTGGGAAAGAAAGTTCAGACTCTAATGACGAATTTAATCAGCCTGATTGGGAGTCAAACGAGTCTGTCTTGAGTATGGATTATCCTTCTTCACGGGTTTCATCCCTTAAGACTGGAGATTACTTTAATAGAAATAATAATGATGAGGATCTTCGTTATAATGGTGATGGTAGAAGAGGGCCGGTTGTTACTTTTCGTGATATTACTTCTGATGATGAGGATGAGGATGATGATATTGGTCAAGAATTTAGTCAGGATGAACCGAGGATCCTGCAGAGAGTTAAGAGAGAACCTGAAACAAAAGGGAAGAAAGGCTCGTGTTATAGGTGTTTTAAGGGGAACCGCTTTACAGAGAAAGAGATTTGTATTGTTTGTGATGCAAAATATTGTAGTAACTGTGTGCTTAGGGCAATGGGGTCAATGCCGGAAGGAAGGAAGTGTGTTACATGCATTGGATTTCCTATTGATGAGGCTAAGCGAGGAAATTTGGGGAAATGTTCTAGAATGCTTAAGCGGTTACTTAATGAGTTGGAAGTTAGACAAATAATGAAGACTGAGAAGTTGTGTGAGGTTAATCAGTTGCCTCCGGGGTATGTTTGTGTGAATGGAAAACCTCTTTGTCATGAGGAGTTGGTTATATTGCAGACGTGTCCAAACCCGCCAAAGAAACTAAAACCTGGAAACTATTGGTACGATAAAGTATCCGGTCTCTGGGGAAAGGTGAATATGGTATATTTAAGACATTTCATTTCTAGAAAGTTAAGAAATCTTTTTGGATATTGATTATTCTTCTAAATTCTGCAGGAAGGACTGAAACCGTCGAAGATAATCAGTCCCCATCTGAATGTTGGTGGTCCAATCAAACCAAATGCTAGCAATGGAAACACACAAGTTTTCATCAATGGTCGAGAGATTACAAAAGTAGAATTAAGGATGTTGCAGGTTGAATTTTATCGACATGTAATTGTTTTATTCTTTTTTTCCCCCCTCAAAATCAATTTCCAGGAATGTTAACGAACCTTTTTTGTTGAATGTCACAGTTGGCAGGAGTTCAATGTGCTGGAAATCCACACTTTTGGGTGAACGAGGATGGATCATATCAAGAGGAGGGACAGAAGAATACTAAAGGGTATATTTGGGGCAAGGTATGGTTTGTGTCAAAATTTTATATTCGTCATTGTGTTTTGTCAATTTGTTTCTTCACATTGGTTACGCGTTTTTGCTGTTACATTTCTTCTCAGGCCAGGACAAAGCTTGTTTCTGCTGTCTTGTCTCTGCCTGTTCCTTCGAAATCTTCAAATCTTGGTGGAGAACAACTGAGCAGTCAGATTAGCAGATCTGTTCCTGATTATATTGAACAGAGAACACTTCAGAAATTGCTTTTAGTTGGATATAATGGATCTGGGACAAGTACGATATTTAAGCAGGTACTTCTTAATGGGGAACTTTAGTTTCTAAATTCATTGTGATTGCAATTTTTTATTTTTTTTCTGTGGGATATCCCTCCTTTTAATCTAATACGGCTTTAGATGAGTGTCATATCCTTATCTATGTTGACTTCCCTGTCTTGTTTTGACAATAAACTTAAATGGATTGACGAAGCTGGTTTTCTTGAATTACATATTGCTAATGAGAGAAGAGCTATAGCAGGCCTCCCCAAAAAAATTGAGCATTATGCCATAGTGATAAAGTAATGTTTGTGGGTACTGTGATAATCATAACATGTTTGCAGGAAGTTTGGTATACTGTGATGTGAATGTCTACTCTTGTTTTCCGTGGGGATTTTAAAGTTCTCTTTATCAGTTTTCTTAAAAGAATTGATTTTGACAAGCCCAGTGAAATTGTAAATAATGATTTCTGTCTAATCCCTGGTGGTTGGAATTAATGGATTTTTTTGAGTTTACTTGATAGTTGCACAACCATAACAGTCATATATGATTTTATGTGCAAATTGGAAAGGGCCAATAATTGAAACTTGTTTTTCCGTGCACCGTAGTCTAGGTGGACCTCTGAACCAAAATGTTTTGATTCTGCCATTTTCTTTGATGTCTATAAAGTATTCGTTGACATATTACATGTTAATTTCTGATAATCTTTAACACATTTACTATCTCAAATTATTCAGGCCAAAATTCTTTATAAAGCCGTACCATTTTTGGAGGATGAGCGTGAGAATATCAAGATAAAGATCCAGAGCAATGTGTATGGCTATCTTGGTATACTTCTTGAAGGTCGCGAGCGTTTCGAGGATGAAGTTTTGAGTGAAAGGAGGAAGAAACAATCTTCAGACGAAACCAACCCCATTGGTAAGAATATTATTGGTTGTCTTCTTCTCTCTTCTCTTTGACTTCATGTTTATTGAATACATGCATACATATATATATATGCCCATCAAGTGTCTTGTTACATAATTATCAGGTAGGATAGTATTGTTTAAATTATTAACTTCCGACCATGTCAGGGGCTACATTCAGCATGGCTGTATAGTTGTTAATATATTGAGCTTACTTTCTATGGGTCTGAGTTGAGTTTTTCTGGTTTGGTAGAGAGTTCTGATGGCAAAACAATCTATGCTATTGGCCCAAGGCTTAAAGCATTTTCTGATTGGCTTTTGAAGACTATGGTGTCGGGCAATTTGGAAGCCATTTTTCCAGCTGCTAATCGTGAATATGCACCATTGGTTGAAGAGCTGTGGAAGGATGCAGCCATTCAGGCCACTTACAAACGGAAAAATGAATTGGAAATGCTACCTAGTGTTGCTAGTTATTTTCTAGAGCGGGTACAATCTTGCTTGATATTCCTATGCTCTGTTAAATTTGTTAAATTATGAACACTCATGCTTAAATTGCTTAAATTTATTGTATTGGCATGAAGATTTATTTTCCTATAGTCTATGGTCACTGGCAAATTTAGAAGTGTAAAGCATGTAAAATAAGAGATAATAATTGTGATTTGAAGATGCTGTCGGATCTTGTAAAATACACCGACACTGCCTTCCACATGATTGGTTGTCTGGCCATTTGGCATGAATGTTAATAGTACATGATAACCTAGGCATTGAAAGGGAAAAATTGGAACGACCTTGGACTTACAAAATTTCTTGTTGCAGCAAGCAAAAGAACTCTTAAGATCTGGCTGAAGATCTTCAATGAGACTGCAAGAAGAAACAGGGGTTTTCTTTCTTTTGGTCTTATTTTAAATTAGAAAAAGAAAATAAGAAGCCAGTGAGGTGCTTTGTACTCTACCAGAGGTTCTAATTATAATCTTACTTGCACTGGGTTGGTGGGACTAAAAACTAAAAAAGAAAGAAGTTGACCCTGCTATGAATAGACATGCCGACAACTTTTCTGGACTTTCAGTTTGTTAGTAGGCAACTATGAATATAGATACAAGTTATGTTGTATTGAATCCTGACTGAATAGTATCAATTAAGTCAACTTCGTTGTGAGCTTTAGACAAATGAAACTCAGTTTGTAGAAGAGACCCTTGTTTCCCTTTTCAAACATTTAAATTGAGTTCTTAATTGCTCTACAGTCTTGTCCCAAAAAAAAAAATGAATGAAAGAAAGAAAGAAAGAAAAGAAAGTTGCTTTACAGAACTTGTATTGAAGCTTAGATGATTTAGTTAATAAGATTTCAAGTCATCGCAGAAGTCATGTGTTTAATTGATATATCTGCCTTTAGATTTCAGTAATTGTAATTATGATAAACAGTAAACTGATGCAGAAGAGATCATTTTGATTAGTTTTGCAGCAATTAGTTATTATTCTTTTTATTGTGAATGTCAGCTCTTAGGAACCTTCTATAGATGATTGGATGAAAAGTGGTTGTACTTAAATTTTACACCAGATTTGTTTAGTCTGCAAGGAATACCAAGAAGGTTTTTTTGTGGAAATAAGTTTGTTGCTTAAAGTGATGTTAACTTAAAGGAAAGATGGTAGTTTATCATTTTGGGCTAATTTTGTATGTGACTGATAAACTTTGAGCTCAGAAAGATGTAATTAAGGTTCAAAAGTTGTCAATATGTCAAGCTCAAGCTGGTATGTATTATATGGTACGTTTACCATCTGTCAGGTTCTCAATGAATCTCAACCAGCATCTTGGTTACATGGCAAAGATACTTGTTTTTCTTTTACTTTGTTCAGGATAGTAACTATGATTACTGTTGTTACTGTTTCTAATATACTCTTTCACTCTTCAGGTTATTGATATATTGAGAACAGACTATGAACCATCAGATTTGGATATCCTATATGCTGAGGGTGTTACTTCATCGAATGGGCTTTCTTGTGTGGACTTCTCATTTCCCTCAGCTTCTGATGAGAACAGTGAGGGTGTTGATCAGAATGATTCTTTGCTTAGGTAGGTGCCATTGCTTAATATCCTGCAGGCAAAAAAAAAAAAAAAAAAAAAAAAAATTCAGCCACCAATATTTTTGTCTAGGGCCCGCCAGGCTGTAGCACCTTGGTAACTTTTGGTGATCTAGTCTCAGTTTCCAGCACAAATTGAATGATGATTCAGATATACAACCTTCAAATTCATCTTTTGTGGACATTTTGATGTTAATTTTGTCCTCTACTGCCTTTTTTTATTATTATATAAATTATGTTTTTCATTATCATTAAGATTCTTTTTTCTGGTGTTGGTTATCAGGTACCAACTAATTAGAGTACAGGCCAGAGGTCTTGGAGAAAACTGCAAGTGGTTAGAGATGTTTGAAGATGTTGGAATGGTCATTTTCTGTGTAGCCTTGAGCGACTATGATCAATTCTCTGTTGATGGGAATGGATCTCTCACTAACAAGATGATACTGAGCAGGAAATTCTTTGAAAGTATTGTTACCCATCCAACCTTCGATCAGATGGAGTTCCTTTTGATATTAAACAAATTTGATCTGTTTGAGGAAAAAATCGAACGGGTACCTTTGCATCAGTGTGATTGGTTTGATGATTTTCATCCGGTCATCAGCCATCACCGCAGCAGTAGCAATAGAAACAGCATCAATAATAACCCCACACCGGGGCAGTTGGCTTTCCACTATATTGCTGTTAAGTTCAAGAGGCTTTATGCGTCTCTCACAGGCAGGAGATTGTATGTTTCAATGGTGAAGGGATTAGAGCCCAATAATGTTGATGCTACTCTGAAGTATGCAAGGGAGATAATGAAGTGGGATGAAGAAAGAGCCAACTACAGCCTGAGTGAGTACTCAATGTATAGCACTGAGGCAAGCTCCTACTCTCATTGATGTTAAACCAGAAAAAGCCTTGTAAATGGGTTCTAGATTGTCAATGTATATATATATCACAGCATGTAAATGAGCACAAGACGATTGTTTCATTCCACAATCAACAGCTGTAAGATTATTGAGACCAGTTTAGGTATTATTTGTACTGTCATGCAGATAGCGAATTTATTGGTGTACGAGCCCCCACGGTGAGAGTGAAACATTAGATTTACATGTCATGTTTTTGCAGTGAACCAATTACTTTAACATTCTGCATTTATATTATGTTTATATTCCGATGCCATTGGTTATATGTTTTTTGCAATAGAAATGAACAAATATCTGATCTAGTTAAGAGTTAGGCGGTAGCATTCTCTTTAACATGATATTCACTAACAACATTTGATTTGGTGAGATGAAAATTGTGGCTGGGAAGTTGCAGTTGTGCTTGTGCAATGTTCTTCGATGCAGGTATCGTGTTTAAACAGCTATATTCCTCCTTTGAAAGATGCACTAAGGTAACACATTAAAATTAATCATCTTAATTCTTGATCCGTTGTGTTTTGAGTTACTAAAAATAAAAGATTATGGAACGAGGAATTAATAACCAATGTCTTAAAACCTAACTCGAGGTGAAACTTGGTAAAGTGGTTGGGTCCCAAGTTGATCGGTAGGTCAAACAGGTGTTAAAGGTTTGAAATCTAACAAAAAAAAAAAAAAAAAAACAAAAAAATACTCATAAAAACTACTGTAAGTCTTTATAGGTTTGAAATCTTATAAAAACACACCAAACAGCATTGTTAACATCGGCAAATAGGGCTTGTTTATGGCCACAACCACACTCCCCATCACTAGGAAAACACTCCCCTTAACCTCTTGACCAAAACTCATCTCACCCCTCCCCCGTTAGCCTCCCCAATCGTCGACGATGGTGATATTTTTCCAACGAAATTGTTTTGTGATTTTTGATCAATTCATTCACAGAAAATCAACGTTGTTGCCACCATTGCACTCACTGACAATTTCTCTTCAAAAGCCTTAACATTTCAACTTTCAATTGTTTACGGATTGATGTCCTAATTTCTAGAGTTTTGAATGAATAGGAAAATTTGAAACCTGACCCAGTGAAGGCTCCAGGTCCTGATTGAACCGGTTCAACCGGTCGGACCAGGTTTTAAAACAGTGTTCATAGGGTGCGTTTGTTTCCCTATCCTACCCAAAATACACATTTGTTTCCCTATTTTGAAAATCCTATTCTATTTTATTCAACTATTTTAAATTCCTTAGATTTGTTAATTTAACTAAACACCCCCCAAAAAAGTTAAGAAATTGACAAAAATATCCCCACCCACATTTGCCTAATTTCGGCCACCACCGTCAGAAGGTGGCCAAAATTTCGCTTAATGTGCACTACCAGCTGGATCTGGCTGGTAGTACGCCGATCTAGCTTTTTTCGGTTAGATCCACGGCCAAAGATCCGGTTGTTGACGGCCAGATCTTTGGCCGTAGCTGGTTGTCAACGACAGTCATATCTCTGATCGTCGTTGATGACCAAACGTGACAATCAATGGCCCAATCAATGGCCAAATTTGGCCATAGATCTAGCATTTTTTGACCAGATCCACAGTGGATCTGGCTGAAAAATGTCATATCAACGCATGACCAGCTAGATCAAACTGATCATGCGCTATTCGACGACTGTCGACCACCCTCTGGCGATGGTGGTCGATTGCCGACATTTAATGGGTGGATGGGGGTATTTTTATTAATTTTTAATGTTTTATTATAACGATGTTTAGCTAAATTAACAAACTTAGGAAGGTGTTTTTGTCATTGTTTTAAAACCCGGCCCGGCCGGTTTAACCGAGACTTGGAAGCTTCAACGGGTCGGGTTTATGTGTTTCTTATTCACCCAAAACCCTAAGATTTGGGGGGATGATCGGCGAACAATTTTCGGCCGGGATGTTGGGGTTTTTGAAGAGAAACTGCCGGTGAATGTAATGGTGGTGACGGTGTTGATTTTCGGTGAGTAAATCGATCGGAAATCGAACAAAACTGGCAACGGCAACAACCGGCTTTTACTGACGATTGGGGAGGCTAACGGGGGTGGGGTGAGGTCAGTTTTTGTCGGGAGGAAGAGGGGAGTAATTTCTGAGTGATGGGGAGGGTTGTTGACGTCGGCGTCGGTGAGATCTGGCCTGGAATGCCAGCGTCAACGTCGATGAGATTTGGTCGGTTGGGATATATTTTAAGGAGAATGGGCTCAAGGGACGATTGGGGTTGCATCTGGGGTGTCGCCATCGCTAACCAGTCGCCGACCGATTTGTATTTGGGGTGTGTTTGCTAAATTTCAAATATATAGGGATGTAACTGCATTTTTAGGGGTGTATTTGCTAAATTATAAAAGTTTTTGTCAATCGGTTTGATCGGCAACTGATCAACCCAAAACCTCGCAACTTTGCCAAGTTTCACCCCAGGTTGGATTTTAAAACATTGGTTTTTGTTAATTTTCAAATCCTATCTCAAAATATCCATCCAACTCAACTTTTTCAAAAATTCTACCTAAAATAATAAAACAAGCACGCTCATAACTACTATCAATTGTCAAGTGCATATCAAAGATAAGGCACGCGGAGAACACGTGGGGCTAGAAACGATGACAAACTGTTTATTTTTTTAACTTTTCCCGTAAGAGAGTTCCTTTTGGTCTTACGAGAAGTACAACGAAGGAATTAGGTATGTGACATATACAAATGGAATGTACGTAAATAGAAATGAATTATTAGCTAATGAAATGAAGATGATCCTAGTGGTTGAGAGAAGAAGCAACAAAACAAAAATCCTAACATGTCCCCCAAATTCTGCTCAAATTTCAAAGAGACTCCAAAATTCGAAGATTACCCTGGTATTTTCAGTCATCTACAAAAGTGTATCGGACCCGCTCCTGAGTATTGAACAGAATGTTTTTGGCAGCCCAACCCAGTGCTGAGATTTGTTCATTTAACATGGACAAGTTCCCTTGGGCACATCGCTTACTGTCCTCAATCAATTTAAACCATTCCTCGTCCTTGAGAATCAAGTCTGAGGCATCACTAGCTCCGACCATTTTCTCCCACCAACTACTCAATCGGAGAGCCTTGCGGACATAGCATGCCTACACCACAACATTTATGTTTCATTATGTATAAGCTCAATAATAAAGTTGAGAAAATAGAAGAAAAGAAACGCAGTCCATCTGCCCATGGAAATATATCTGTCTATGTATCGCTGAGTACAATTCCTTTTACCTGCAACAAGCCCATGATAACATCCGTAACACTCGCACCTTCTCGTAGACAAAGAAGGATACCAAGCTAAAATGTCACCACAGGAGCAAAAAGAAGAAAGAAAAAAAAGACCAGCATTAGCAAGTGAGTGCTATATAATTGTGTTTGACAGCCAAATAAGTTCATTATTGTGATACTCACTTGCTCATTTCCTGTCAAACCTTTGCTGAAAATCTCTATGCACATGAAGTAATAATCTTCGTCGGTTAAAGACTGCATCACTGTCATTGACGACTTGGGTATCTGACACTTAGGATTTAAGCACCCTATTCTGATGGGACACAATTCTTTGCCTGATACAAATCTCACTAGTTATATTTAACTTTCATCAATAATATGCATTAATTCTAGCTCAATCAAAAGCACCAAAATGCACTTGAGAAACACCAAAACCCACCTTTGCTCCATAGAAAATCAACGCTTTCCTCTTTACTGACTTCTGCTGGAGAAGGCACATGTCCTGATTCAATCCATTTATCGAGTATGATTTCAAGCCTATCCTAGATACATACAATAATGAAAGTGAGATATGAGGCAAATAATTGTTTTTTCCAAACTGAAAACCAATCGCCATAGAATGTATATCAAACCAACATTGCTATGTGAGAGTAGGTGGGGGTGGGATTGCTTGAGGATTCACTTAAGGAAGAAAGTATTTAGAACTAACGCAGATAAATTAATGTATAATGGGTAAGCAGAAAAGAGAACTAAAGAGAGAGTGAACACATACTTATCATTTTTGGGTAGAATGATAAGTAATCAGTTGTCTATTAACATTTTTGAGAAACTTTCTAATGAGCTACCTCTCGTCTATTAGCTGAGGAAATAGATGCCATGAATATGGGAGTAACTTCAAGGGTTAGGCAGAGTGGTTAAAGCCCTTGGTTTCAAATTGTGCAAATCTCTTTGGAACCACCTACTTGAGATATTATATTGCACAAGTTTCTTGGATACCAAGGTTGTAGGGTTTGAAAATAGCTTCCAATGAACAAATAGGACAGGTTGATGGAATTTTGGGTACCACAAAAAAAGGAGGGCAGGTGGGGGCAAGCATATAAACATCAGCTGAGAAGTGGGTTTTGTATTCTTTCAAAGAACAGAAAATTAAGGCAAACCATCATTTTAACCTCACATAATTGATTAAAATACAGAGCTAACCAACCTTAGTTATTGTTTGCAGATGGACATGCTTAAGCCCTTGATATATCCCAAAGAGGTCAATTGCAGAGAAAATGGGGTATACTACAAAAGGTAAACCTGCTTGCAATCTTGCACATCAATAACAAATTAGGAAACCACCAAACACTTCAAGAGCAGGCTCAAGAGGCAGAAGACATCATTTCTCCATAATCAAGGCTAACAAACTTCTCAATTCATTTTGATCCATAGAACATTATAAACTTCACGAAGGAACTCAATAACATAATAAAGATCAAAGAAGAAAAAACCTTTGATTGCTCTTCAGCAACATATTAAAAGATGCAGCAATCATGAGCCCAAGATTATCAAAGCACACTGTTTGAATCTGACACACAACAAAACTTACGTCCATAACATATGAGATATCAGAGACAGGAAATTATACATGCCAGAAAGAATGAGAACCTGTGCTTTTGCAGAAACTTCACCAAGGTTATCAGCCACTGCAAAGCTTCGATGAACAGCAGACTGTTCATTCAGAGTTATGACATCAATATTCCACTTGAAAAATTGTCAAAACACCTTTAGAATTGTTGGGAAGAAAAATGCATTTTGAAGAAAGTCCCTTCAGAATAAAAAATGGCTAAAGTGGTGTGGCAGGTATACATTCAACATAAGCAGAAAAACTCACAGGGAAGTAAAGCATTAACAAGTGATTGCTGGGCTTTGCAAATATTACAGGCCTATATAAGTCATACAAGCATGAAGCTTTAAATCATTCGTAGTAATTAACGATAACAAAAAAAAAAAAAAAAAAAATTATGCTTGAAGCCAAAAAAGAAAAAAAACTGAAAAATTAAAGTCATATGATAAAATCATGTATGCCCAACTTTGATACTTTCCTCTTAAAAGAGTGAAAATATAAACAGATTGTGCTACCAGACTGAAAAGGAACTTGAGAGAATGTTAAAAACTGAATCTTACACCAGTTGCCAAGTAGCATGCAGACTTATTTGTTAGCGATGTTGGCTATAGAAGCAAGAAGCAAGAAGTACTTGGGAAATACAGGAGTCCAGCAGCCTTCAACTCCAATGCTCAAACTGAACAGGACAGATGTTGAGAACCTAACCCTCTTCATAAAAACAGATAACAAAACATTAGTTAGTTATTTAAGTTCATATAAGATATCTCTACATTTTATTAATTTAAGGTTCTAAGATCTCTAAGAATTGCACTCCACATCACTTTGATTTAGGGTTTTCGGATAAATCTATCCAAACACCAAATGCATTGATGAAGCTGCAGTACTGATGAAGAAGAAGCAAATCTTAAGAGTAAATAAATTAAAACAAGTGACAAGGCAAAGCATACAAATTTCAATAAGTACAATGCCTACCTTCAAATTGGTATCAAAAGCAGATGCTAGGCTAGCAGTGTAGATGCACCTACAAAACCGTCCAAGCCCATCCTTTAAAACCCAATTCAAGGCAGCTGCTGCTGGCAATGAACGTGAGTACCCAATTCCTATGGCGCGAAACATTGCCTGATAACAGAAACCAAAATTTCATCCCAATAATATTTCTTTTCTTTCTACGTTTAAGACTTTAATTTTCTCCAAATTGACCAATACATAACATGCGTAAAATACTGGTACAACTTATAAGTCTAATTCTGTAATTCATACTCGTTAAAAGATATTAAATTCAACAACTTCTCTATGTGTAAACCCACTTAATCCCCATTATAACAGTCCTCCTTTAAATTTTACAAAAATGCAAAAAATCCACAGATCACCACATGAATTTTGTTCTGTCCAAAAAATAAAAAAAGAAAACCGGTTACCTGAGTGGCAAGAACTTGAAGAGCAGAACTAAACACGCGGTGCAAGAACTTCCACTTAACATAATTCATATAATTCTCACTCACTTGTTTGGGTAAAAAAAAGTCCCTAAAAGCCAAACTACAAATTCTTAGCAATTTCCTAAACCCATCGTCGAAATCCAAACCAAACGACGACGCACCACCATCAACACTGACCAATTGCAAACCATTCCCGTCCCAGAAGTACCTCGAAACCCGACCTGACCCCCGAACCACCACCGGGAGCTTCTTCAGTCCTGCCGGTTTGGGCCCTTTGTTGAGTCCTTCCTCTGGTTCGTAGTTAATTGAGGTTCTTAAAGAGTTGGTGGTTAAAGTTAGGGCTTTTCTGGGAGTGAACTTGGGCGTTTTAGAAATGAATTCTGGCAATTTTGAAAATTCCCATTGGAATTGGACCGACTTTAGAGAGGCTTGCATGAGAACCAGGGGAAGTGAAAATAGGATTTTTGGGAGTTAATTTTCCCGCCAAATTCTGGAGGCTTTGATAATGATAGGGTTTAGGGTTTTAGAGACAATGAAACTGCATTGGTGATGGTGAATCAAAAGGGGATTGGGCATGTTGTTTAATTTAGAAAAAGTTGAAAGCGTAAACTTTAAAATGTACCGTTCTAAAATGGAGGATAAAAAAGTGATCAGAGACACTGATTCCATTAAATAATATTTTCTTTAAGTGACCATATAACAATATACAGTTGGATCATCAATAGTGCCCTTATTTATCTTATTCCATTAAAATAATTCTTTATATTTTATTTCAAAAATAGTAGGTTCACGACCTAATTTTAAAAGTTGATACTATTAAGTCAACTGACGATTCTGACTAAAAATAAACGGTCATTTCTTAAAGATTAACAGTCTTTTATTAAGGATAAATGATCTTTCATTCATAAGCAACAATCATTGCTTATGAATGAACAATTGTTCTCGTTTAATCAAAGTCATTTAGAGTTTTGGGTATGGTGAAAGTTGACACGACTAGAGTTGGGTATTTGAGACCGGGCCCAAAAGCCCAGCTCTAAAACCCGGTCCTAGAACCGGTCCTTGAGAGGACCGGTCCTAGGAGGCCTGGTCCCAAAACGGGACCAGGCCTAAGGAGGAGGGCCCGGGCCCTCCACTAGGCCCGGGCTTGGAACCGGTCCCAGGCCTGGGCCCAAATTTTTTTGTATTTTTTCAATATAGTCCCTACTAAATTACATAAAACCCCCTATTAATTTTAAAATAAATATAAATTACGAGGGTTAAAATGAAATTTTACAAAATTTATTAAAAAAAAAATCTTCCAGGTCCAAAAAATTTATAAAATTTATAAATTTTACCCCTAAAAATACTAAAAACCCCCTAAAAAATTTTGTTTTGCCCCCAAAATATAAAAAAAATTAAGGGGGAAAATGAAATTATCCAAGCCCATGGGACTGGTCCTAGGACCGGTCCTGGGCCCATGGGACCAGTCCCGACCAGGCCTAGGGCCTGGTCTGGGTCTTGGTTTTTCTCATGGGCCTGGGACCGGTCCCAGGCCCATGAGTGACTGGTCCCATTTGGGACCAGTCTCAAACGGGCCCAGGCCTAGGCCCGCAAGGGACCGGTCCCTTGCCCACCTCTAGACGCGACAATTGTCAACTCAGCTACTACGTTGAAGTTGTAAAAAAATATTGTAAAATTGGGTTGTGAATGTAATATTACTTATTTTATTTTAATAATATTGTCATAAAAAATAAAATTAACCAAAATGCGTCATAAATAACCCATGGCAAAAAGAACTCACTTTAGAAGAGATGTCTTCGAAATCCCTATAACATCTCTTAATTTATAAAATTACAACAAATACAATATTCTTCTTCTTTTTTTGTCAGAATACAATATTCTTTTTAATAGCTGTAAGCCTGTAATTATCACTTTCATCCCAAACCTTATGCAGATATGAGCCCGATAGGCCCAAATCCAGAAAATTTAAATGAAGAAATTAAAATTTTAAATTTAGGTTTAAAACTTAAAAAAAAATAATAAAGCACAATAATGAGACAAGTTTTAAGATAACATTTAATTTGTGTAGAAAGTGCACGAGTCCCAACTCATTCTTTAATGGTAAACTCAGGCCTTATTTGTTTACAAAGCACAATTAGAACTCTTATCCGTCCGAAATTTCAAGATTTTGGAAGATTTGTTAAGATATGTTTAAATTGATCCAAATAACTTCGATCATTTAAAAAACCGCTTAATGATCATAAAGTTCAGAATTAAGACGCGGTATGAGTACAACTTCAACTGGGGTTGCTTTTAAATTTGTCAACCCAGTGCTCTCGCTCATATCCACATCTTCACTTGATGCCTTCCCAACTTCAAAGCTATGTAATAAGATAGCAAGGCTGAACTGCACTACTTGGAGGGCCAGTGAGATTCCAGGGCACGATCTTCTTCCTGACCCAAATGGGATCAGTTCAAAATTTTGGCCTCTCAAATCCGTGTCCTTATGACTACTCAGAAATCTCTCAGGTTCGAACTTGTGAGGATCCGACCATACACGTTCATCACGTTGAATTTTCCAGGCATTCACCATTAAGCGTGTACCAGCAGGAACATGATAACCACCAGTTGAGAGGGTGCAGTCCTCAATTGCAGCTCGAAGACCAATGATTGGACTAGGTGGGTACAAGCGCAGTGTTTCCTTGACAATTGCCTGTAGATAGATCAGGTTTTCAATATCGGATTCGTCAACACTTCTATCCTGGCCAATGTGGATGCGCACCTCTTCTTGAGCTTTCTTTAACTTATCCGGATTGTTCAGCAATAAAGATAGAGCCCATGTCAGCGTGACCATGGTGGTGTCACTTCCTGCTAACAGTAAATTCTGCAAGCCGGACCTCATCAGTAAAACAGTAGTCTCTCTCTCTCATCTTATGTCAATCATTCATTATATGATACACAGATATGGACAAGAATGATTACAGAGCACCAGAGAATTTTGAAAAAAAAAAAAAAAAAAACATAATAACAGGGAATAGTACTCCTGATAGAGCTGAGCTGAATGCTAAAATAATTCGTACAATAGAACCACGTTGCTGGACTAAGGATATCTGAAGTTGAGTTACTTACCAGGCAAGTAGCCTTGTTAATAGTATAAGCATCATAACCAGAAATATTGGCATCTTCCAGGACATTTAGCATCACATCCATGAAATCCCGTTCTTCCTTTCTCTCTCCGGACAACAATCTCCTTTTTTTATGCTCCTCCAGCCAACCTTCGATGAGAGTGTCCAATTCTTTCGCTGTTCGCTTCATTGTTTTCTCGTAGCCATTAAAGTCCAACCATCCAAGAAATGGTATCGCATCAGACAAGACGAACACGCCAAATAGAAAAAAAAAATTTCTCATCACTTTCTGGCACCTCCGTGCCTCATCTTCTTCACAATCAGCGTTAGCTCCAAAGTATCTTTTTCCTCCTATCATTCTCAAAACAATATTGTGAGTCAAGTCTCCAAACCACTGTCTCATATCCACCATAATTCCACTATCAGCACTACTTTTGCTTACCCATATCTTGTACAGTTCTCCTATCGCTGTTTTTACCTCCGCATCTCGTATGTGCCTGAGCATATCAATCCGGTGGTTTGATAGAAGCTCAATCATGGCTATCTTGCGCATCTCACGCCAGTAAGAACCATAGGGAGCAAATCCAAACATGGCAAAATCATAGCCTAGTAGCTTTGAGGCTGCAATGCTTGGTCTGGTGGAGAAAACTCTGTCATGGACAGTGAAACACTCTTTGACTGTTTCCCAACTACTTAAAACCAAGACTCTATGAGAACCTAGCATTATAGTGAAAACAGGTCCGTATTTATCAGCCATGGCACCTAGTGTTTTGTGGGTCAGTTGCCCGCCACCAAGTAAGTGCATGTGCCCAATAATAGGCCAAGAACCACCTGCTCGGGGTGGACTGCAGCTTCTTGTTTTCAAAGTATTTGGTCTCTTTAAATGGTAAAAGTAGACACCGACGAATAGGGCAAGGAGGCTAGAAATCAGAATTAACAGGATCTGGAGAAAAGGCTCCATGAGAGGTGGAACAGATAGTAACAGGATAGGTTTGGGTGTCTTAAATTGACTGGAGAGGTTCAGTGCTTACAATGAATCTTTTCATGAACGCCAGTCTTTTTCTCTGGAAGATAAGAGTTGCTGACTCTTGTGATACATTACAAAATATATCAAATTAAGCAGAGCCTAATCTAAGAGCCTAATCTAAGGAAAGTTTTTGGTGATACATGTTAATAACAATTTTAAACACCCGTCCCCAAATCTTTTTGGTCAAGCAATTATAGCAGTTCGTGGGATAAGGTCAAATGTTGCCTACTGGCAGCTGTCCTCAAGAAATCTTTTAGCATTTCATCCCATTTGTTTTGCCATCTTCAAATTAAATTTCATTCATTTGTTTGGCAAACTGGTATTACATATTTGCATCCTGAGCTTGAATTCCTGCGCTAAAAATAATGATCTTGCAATGCCAAAGTGTAACGAATCCCACCACATCAGAAGCGTATTGAACGGGTATTAGGCTTATAAATAGGGGAGTCTCTCATCTAATAAGTTAGCCTTTTGAGTGTAAAACTCTCAACCCATGACACAAGGCCGTATGAAAGTTATTAAGTCTTACATTCACTGATGTGTGTCGAGCGCAACTAAAAATTAAATTACTCTACCCACAACTTGTAATCACAGTAAGTACAAGTCGATCCACAGGGACTAGCTAATCAAATTACCCAAGAGAAATAAAAATGGGAAATTTTACTTCGAAAATTAATTGACACATGAGTAATTATTACTGACAGGAATTAAGTAAAGAGAATTTAATAAAAAATGATTTTCGACTCAAGGAAAATTACCCATGGTTGCAAACGGATCATTGACTTCTAATATATATTATTATTCAATTGAATATTTAACCAAGGATTATCAAGAAGTCAAACAATATTTATCTTCACCAAGTTCATTAATTTGAACCTAGCACACAAATCAATTTTTATCAATAAACCACTTGGTATTTCGCAATCTTTATAAATTTACTGATAGCATTACGGATTAAGAAGTAGCTAAAGATAAATAACAATTGAACAAACGTTAGATTATTTAATTCATTCCATGTTTCTTTTAAACGATCAACAAAAGCTTGGATCACAATTGTTTTGCTTAATTATTACTCTAACTGAATATTATAACAATTACGGATTACAAATTCAGTTTAGCAGTTAGTCGCACAATCAATCAATTAACCTGTCGCTTTAATCAATTAAATCATGCAACCATAATAAATAAAACAAAGAAACACATATATATTAATAGAAGAATAACTAAGATTAAGAACAAAGTATCACAATTATGCTAACCGGATTGGTGTTTCTTGGAATCGAACTAAAGAATTTAGCCCGACATGTGAGATGAAAGGTACAGAGAAAAGGAAAAATAAAATTGTGTTCAGTCTCCAACCTCCAAAACCCTAGTAGCCTAAAAGTTATATTTTATATCTCCAAGAAACGTATAAAAGCTTCCTTTTAAAAGCCAACTCCTAAAATTAAGACAAATAACTAAACCTTTTTTAGGAAAACACTTCTTTCTCTCTCTTCAAACCAGCCCTTAATTTGTGCAAGTGAAATTCCAACTCATACACACAAATTTCCAACCCTCCAGAATTGTATTGAACTCCCTCTTGAAGTTGGACCAAGTTTGTATAGAGCCATACAAAAATAATCCAAATCAGCTAAGGATTAAAGCTTTTAGGCTGAAGCTGTAATTTCCAAGCCAGTTTTGGATAGGACAACGGGCTTTCTGGACTTTGAGCCCCCATAAGAATTGTAGTTCAGGATGTGTACTTCAATTTGGGTTTTTGAATCGTCTCATTTGAGTTTTGGAAGCTCCAATTATGCCCTTTTAAAACTCCAGCGGTCAGACATAAATCCTACTCCAATTAGGATTCGATTTCAATTTTCAGCTTTGAATTTACACCAACAATTGGAGGTCCAAATGAAGTCATCTCTGGACGTGCCATACCAACTTGGAAAGCTTAAGATGTCTACTTTAACTTCATAGATGGTCCAAAAACCAAACTGCAACTCCAAGTCTATCAAAAATATGCAAACAGCCCGAAACATCCAAAAGTAAAAATGCTGAAGACTTTTGATTTTAAGTATATTTTGCTAACTCTTAACCACAAATGCTTTATACATAAAACTCATCACAAATAGGCACCATAAGATATTAAACATGTCAAATAAACTAAATGCAAGGATAATAAAAATATAAAATTATAATTCTATCATCCATTCCTTTTTTATTCAGTCCATCATATTGTTATACATCATAAGCTGAATTTTTATGGATCTAGATTAATAGAGCCACTCAAAGTCTTGAATCTTCAACTACCACTAGCTTTATATATAACCCTTCTCCTAAAGCTACTACACCGTTCTTTCTCTCTATATGATAATTACATTAAGCTACTGCGTGTAAAGCTTGGGATCAAGACGGGGAGTAACGAGAACTTCAAGTGGTGTTGCTTTTATATTTGTTAAGCCAGGGCTCTCAGTCATATCCACTGCACCATTTGATGGTTTCATCACTCCAAAACTTTGCAACAAGCTAGCCAGTGTCAAATGTACCACTTGGAGAGCTAGTGAGATACCTGCACATGCTCTTCTTCCACAGCCAAAAGGAATGAGTTCGAAATTCAGACCCCTCACCTCTATGTCCTTATTATCAGTCAAGAATCTCTCAGGTCTGAACTCATTAGGATTAGGCCACACGCTCTCGTCATGTTGAATTTTCCAAACATTCAGCATCACACGTGTACCAGCTGCTACATGGTAGCCATTTGAGAGGGTGCAGTCTGTATTTACAGAACGAGGAATAACAGGGCCCGGAGGGTACAGGCGAAGTGTTTCCTTAACAATTGCTTGGAGATATACAAGGTTTTTTATGTCAGACTCTTCCACATGTCTGTCCTTGCCAACATGGATATCCAGCTCGTCTTGAGCCTTTTTCAACGCATGAGGATTGTTGAGTAGTAACGCTAAGGCCCAAGTGAGAGGGACCATATTGGTGTCTGATGCCATGATTAAATTCTGCCAAAGTAGGAGTTTATTAGTTTGCAGACATTAGTGATCCTTGAAATAGCTCCAAAGTTTTATCCTATCACTCCAAAACAATTAAAATTGAGATATATAAATAAAACTCTGAAAAGATAAGATGCCCACATGATTAGATGTTTTCTCAGAAGCAGATATAAGCATATAACCCCAGGTCTACATTCAAGAAATTAAATTTGTTAGACCTTCAGCTCATATCATCTGCTACAATATTTCTAGGACACTTTTCTTTTCTTTTGGCAGATTTTAATAACTATGGCCTGAGTTAGTGTTTTAATTGAAATAAGAATATTGTAATACCAATATAAAACGACCATCATATGAAGCCTAAAGTTTCAGACTTGTGATAAAATGAGCATGATGAAAAAAATGTCTTGACAATAACCAAAATCCTGAAATAACAGCTTTTCTGGTTTAGTAGCGACAGTACATACCAGGTAAGTTGCCTTCTTAATGGTACCAACATCGAAACCAGATATCTTAGCGTTGATACCATTCTGCTTAAATGAGTCATGATTCCATCCTGAAATAACATCCATGAAATTTAGATCCTCCCTTGCTTCTCCACCCAACTTTTTTCTCTGTTTATGCTCCTCCAGCCATTCTCCAGCAAGAGCATCTAGTTCCTTGGCAGTTTTCTTCATGGCTTTTTTATATCCTCCAAAATCCAACCACCCAAGAGATGGTATTGCATCAGATAAAACAAATACCCCAAACAGATAAAAGAAATTGTTGATTAGCTTTTGGCAGTGTCGTGCCCTTCCTTTCTCCTCATCATCACCACTTCCGGAGAACCTTCTCCCAGCTACCATTCTCAAAGTAACATTAAATGTCAAATCTTTAAACCACTGCTTCATTTCTACAAGAACTCCACTTTCTGTACTACTTCTGCTTAAATAAGTCTTGTACAATTCTTTTATTGAAGTCTGCACCTCTGAAGCTCTTATGTGCTTGAACATATCTAGCTTGTAGTTTGACAGAAGTTCAACGGTAATTATCTTGCGCATCTCTCGCCAGTAAGGCCCGTAAGGAGCAAAGCCAAACATAGCATAGTCATAACATAGAAGCTTTGAGGCAGCCATGTTTGGCCTGCTGGAGAAAGCCAAATCATGAACAGTAAAAATCTCTTTGGCGATTTCCCACTTACTCACAACCAAAGCTTTGTGTGAACCTAACCTTATAGTGAAGACTGATCCATAATTGTCAGCCATGTCACTCAGTGTTCTGTAAATCAATTTCCGGCCACCAAAGAGGTGCATGTGGCCAATAATAGGCCAAGCACCACCGACTTCAGGCACACTACATCTCGCTGTTTTATGAGTGATTGGTTTCTTCGATTGATACAAGTAGTACATAAACATCGACAGGGCAACTAGGCTTGACAACAGAATTAGAGGGTCCATGATAGTGGGAGGTTGTAACATTGCAAAAAACAGTAAAAGTGATTTATAGCTGTCCTGCAGCCCTCTTTGTTTGTTCTTATGTTTTTACGGATGTCATTATCTTTGAAAATATTGAGCTGACTTTTGAGATGATTGCTCCAATCAGTTCATCGCATCCAGTCTACATTGAGATTGCAGTTGATAATAATCTTAGTCAATTGATTGTCTGACTATGGTGGCGTTTATTTATTTATCTGCAAACTGGATTAAACTGAATCAGTTTAAAAATTGGATAAATCAAAATGATATGTTTATTTTTTGCTTTTTATAATCTAATTAAGTGTTAAGTTGTTTGTTTTTGTTATTTTGTATATAAAAATATCTTTAAAATATTATTTTTATTTTAAGAACAGAGTTCTGTTGGTACATGGAATCTCAGCTGAGGGTCAACAGACCATGAATCATGAAAAATTAACATCAAGCCTTATCAAAATTGGTATGGAACAATAGTTTACTGTAAAATTCCAGAATTTCTCTATCAGATAACGAAATTTATAAGCTGCCTTACCATTATCGTTAAATCCTTTAAAATCTAATCACTAATCAAAGATCAAATTCATTTGGCAGCACTTGTGTAAACCTACATTCTACTTCTTGCTGTACTGCGGTTTCTAAATCAAGTGCCCTGTCACTAAGGGTCTACTTGGGAGTTTTATAGTAACGGTTATGAAGGTAAACCATCGTAACAATTTTGAGGGGTTTTTAATAACGGTTTTTAAAACACTTAACCTATGCTTGGGAGTTTATTTTCCAACGATTCTGACAGTTTTTTTAAATTATAAATTTATATAAATGCCCATAAAGTTAAAACACTCTCTCTTTTGCTTAATTAACTTTGAAGTTATAAATTTGACTCGTATGTTTTTAGCTACTCAGTCTTGTGAAAAAGGTGTCATTACTCTTGTGATAGCTTCATGACTACATTTGTTGGGGATTTCAAGCTTTTAAAGGTACTCGATTTTCAAATTCTTCTCTAAGTTATCTTCCTGAAGCAGTGGGAAAACTGTTCCATTATATTATTTAAATCTGAGAAATACAAGAGTAAAAAAACTTCCCAAGTCCATAGGTAAGCTTGTCAACTTAGAGACTTTGGATTTGAAGCTATCTCGCATGAAAAAACTTCCAGTTGAGATAAAAAACCTGAAAAAATTGCGGTATCTAAGGGCATATAACTTTAGCGGTGGTGTTATCGGAACTGGAAGAGGAATTACAATACATAAGGGTTTTAAGAGTTTAATGGATCTGCAGAAGCTGTATTCTGTGCGAGCAGACCCTGAAGTAGTAAAAGAGCTCATGATGCTAAGGAAATTGAGAAAACTGAGCATTACTTTAACAAATGAAAGTGGGAAGTATCTACGCGATGTAATCACAAATATGGAAAATCTTGAATTTCTGACTGTAGATTCAACCAGTAGACAAGAGGTTATTGACATAGAATGCATGTCTTCTCCTCCTCGATATCTTCAACACCTCTGCTTAATGGGGACTATGAAGAGGATGCCAATCTGGATTTGTGAGCTTGAAGATCTAAACATAATAGATTTAGATTTATCGGGATTAAGTGAAGATCCCATCAGCGTCCTTCAGTCCCTGCCTAATTTGTTGGAGCTTAGGCTCAAAGATAAGTTTTGTGTGCAACGAAGGGAGTGGAAAGGGGTTTTTTTGGGATAAAAGTTTCAAACCAGCCATTTAGGGTGTTTTATAAACCCCTTAAAAATACACTTCATTGGTTTTGGGGGGTTTTTAAACCAGTCAAAATCAGCCTATTAAAAATCTAGCAAATGGAGGTTTTTAAACACCCCAAAACTAGTCTAATTAAAAACCCCCTAAAACCAGTGAAAAAAAACTCCCCAGCAGACCCTAAAGTTCTTATGTGTTTCCTCCCCAATACCTTTTCCAACTTAATAGAGGCGACAAATGTTTTATTGGTAAAGTCGATAAACTGTAAGACTTATGTTGCCCTTAATCACAACTTCTTGCTTTTTATTCACTCCCCATGAATTATACATCAGAATATTTACGTATACTGTAACTCTAAAAGAAGTGAGCTAAGTATTTCCTCAAAAGTTGAAAACACCAAGATACGTTATTGCAAGTTCTGACCAGAGGGCTCCATTAAACACTAAGCCCATCTTCCTACGTATTTACAAAAATCTACTGCATGTAAAGCTTGGAATCAAGACGGGGAGTAATGAGAACTTCAAGTGGTGTTACTTTTTCATTTAACAACCCAGGACTCTGGGTCATATCAACTGGGTCGTTTGATGGTTTCATCACTTCAAAACTTTGCAACAAACTAGCCAGTGTCAAATGTACCACTTGGAGAGCTAGTTGGATACCTGCACATGATCTTCTTCCACAGCCAAATGGAATCAGTTCGAAATTCAGACCCCTCAAGTCTGTGTCCTTGTGAATAGTTAAGAATCTCTCAGGTTGGAACTCGTTAGGATTAGACCACACGCTCTCGTCATGTTGAATTTTCCAAACATTCAGCATCAGGCGTGTACCAGCTGCTACATGGTAGCCATTTGAAAGGGTGCAGTCTTTATCTGCGGAACGAGGAATAACAGGGCCTGGAGGCTGCACGCGAAATGTTTCCTTAACAATTGCCTGGAGATATACAAGGTTTTTGATATCAGACTCTTCCACATGTCTGTCCTTGCCAACATGGATTTGAAAATATTGAGCTGACTTTGAGATGATTGCTCCAATCAGTTCATCGCATCCAGTCTACATGAGATTGCAGTTGATAATATCTTAGTCAATGATTGTTGACAAATCTTTAAACCACTGCTTCATTTCGACAAGAACTCCACTTTCTGTACTACTTCTGCTTAAATAAGTCTTGTACAATTCTTTTATTGAAGTCTGCACCTCTGAAGCTCTTATGTGCTTGAACATATCTAGCTTGTAGTTTGACAGAAGTTCAACGGTAATTATCTTGCGCATCTCTCGCCAGTAAGGCCCGTAAGGAGCAAAGCCAAACATAGCATAGTCATAACATAGGAGCTTTGAGGCAGCCATGTTTGGCCTGCTGGAGAAAGCCAAATCATGAACAGTAAAAATCTCTTTGGCGATTTCCCACTTACTCACAACCAAAGCTTTGTGTGAACCTAACCATATAGTGAAGACTGATCCATAATTGTCAGCCATGTCACTCAGTGTTCTGTAAATCAATTTCCGGCCACCAAAGAGGTGCATGTGGCCAATAATAGGCCAAGCACCACCGACTTCAGGCACACTACATCTCGCTGTTTTATGAGTGATTGGTTTCTTCGATTGATACAAGTAGTACATAAACATCGACAGGGCAACTAGGCTTGACAACAGAATTAGAGGGTCCATGATAGTGGGAGGTTGTAACATTGCAGAAGAAGTATGTCAATTATAGCTGTTCTGAAGTTGTGTTTGTTATTCATATAGTTTTCATATATTATATTTTCTTTGGAGAAGATTGTCGCTAATGTTTGAGGTCATTGCCCATTCAATTCATCAGTCCATAGAGAACTTTTACACCTAATACATTATTTAATCAATTGTCTGACTAGGTTCTGCTTGCTGATGGGAGAATCCCCCAATCATTTGCAAGTCAATGCTGAATACACTTTCTTTAACAACAAATTCACCATGATTCTCGGTTTGCAGTTTTGTCTGTCCAATTAAAATGCTGTTAGGCAGTAAATTAGTTTTTCTTTAGCTCAATTTGAAAGTACCATCAGTATGAGTCATATCAAGACGGGGAGTGACGAGAACTTCAAGTGGTGTCTTTTTTTCATTTGCCAAGCCAGGACTCTCAGTCATATCAACTGGGTCGTTTGATGGTTTCATCACTTCAAAACTTTGCAGCAAGCTAGCTAGTGTCAAATTTACTACTTGGAGAGCTAGTGAGATACCTGCACATGATCTTCTTCCACAGCCAAAAGGAATCAATTCAAAATTCAGACCCCTCACGGCTGTCCTTATGATTAGTCAAGAATCTCTCAGGTTGGAACTCATTAGGATTAGACCACACGCTCTCGTCATATTGAATTTTCCAAGCATTCACCATTAGGCGTGTACCAGCTGCTACATGGCAGCCATTTGAAAGGGTGCAGTCTTTATTTGCGGAACGAGGAATAACAGGGCCTGGAGGCTGCACGCGAAATGTTTCCTTAACAATTGCCTGGAGATATACAAGGTTTTTGATATCAGACTCTTCCACATGTCTGTCCTTGCCAACATGGATTTCCAGTTCATCTTGAGCCTTTTTCAACACATGAGGATTGTTGAGTAGTAGAGATAAGGCCCAAGTGAGAACTACCATGTTGTTGTCAGATGCTGCTACTAAATTCTGTCAAAATGGGAGTTTGTCAGTAAGCAGTAGTTGATGTCATTGGCCCTTTGAAAAGTCTCCAAGTTCTAGTTTAACACTCCAAACAAGAGTACACTAGTAAAACTTGTTGAAAAGAAAACATGCCCGAGTTCTTGACAGATAAAAGTCCCAACTCCCAAGTCATAGACTCTGTAATTTAGTTATGAAAAAGACAAATGTTTCAAACTTTTGACGAATTTATTTGTATTTTTTTTTTCAGGTTGCGTCCAGCTCTAGCTCTACTTCAACTTTTGTTGACTTTTATGTAAATAAATTTTGTCACTACAAACAATGACATACTCATGTATATTTTATTGTCAAGATATTTACATCTACAGAAGGAGAAAAGGTGGAACCTATTACAGTTTCAGCAACACTAATCATTAGAACACCAAAAGTCATAAAACCATAGTTTGATTTACAATACTCCAGGTCGAGCTTGAGAAGACAGTTTTTACTGAGTCCTAGTTTCCCTATCAAATTAATGTTGGAAATTCAGGTTACATGATTTGTAACGATAAGCTACAGCATATGAAGACTAGAAATATTTTAGAGATTGTTGAGAATATGAGCATGATGAAAAGATGCCTTGACGGTAATCACAACCACTCTTTTTCTGATTTCGTAGCTTAAGTACTTACCAGGCAAGTCGCCTTGTAAATGGTATCCGCGTCAAAACTAGGTATCTTAGCATCTTCTAGAATGTTCATCATAAAATCCATGAAATCATATTCCTCCTTTGTTTCTCCACCTAACAGTCGTCTCTGTTTATGCTCCTCCAGCCATTCTCCGGCAAGAGCGTCGAGTTCCTTTGCAGTTCTCTTCATGGCTTTCTTATATCCTCCAAAATCCAACCACCCAAGAGATGGTACTGCATCAGATAAAACAAACACTCCGAGCAAATAGAAGAAATCAGTGATCAGATTTTGGCAGCGTCTTGACCTTTCTTTGTCGCCATCATCACTGCTTCCAGACAACCTTCTCCCTGCCACCATTCTCAAAATAACATTATATGACAAATCTTTAAACCACTGCTTCATTTCGACAAGAACTCCACTTTCTGTACTACTTCTGCTTAAATAAGTCTTGTACAATTCTTTTATTGAAGTCTGCACCTCTGAAGCTCTTATGTGCTTGAACATATCTAGCTTGTAGTTTGACAGAAGTTCAACGGTAATTATCTTGCGCATCTCTCGCCAGTAAGGCCCGTAAGGAGCAAAGCCAAACATAGCATAGTCATAACATAGGAGCTTTGAGGCAGCCATGTTTGGCCTGCTGGAGAAAGCCAAATCATGAACAGTAAAAATCTCTTTGGCGATTTCCCACTTACTCACAACCAAAGCTTTGTGTGAACCTAACCATATAGTGAAGACTGATCCATAATTGTCAGCCATGTCACTCAGTGTTCTGTAAATCAATTTCCGGCCACCAAAGAGGTGCATGTGGCCAATAATAGGCCAAGCACCACCGACTTCAGGCACACTACATCTCGCTGTTTTATGAGTGATTGGTTTCTTCGATTGATACAAGTAGTACATAAACATCGACAGGGCAACTAGGCTTGACAACAGAATTAGAGGGTCCATGATAGTGGGAGGTTGTAACATTGCAGAAGAAGTATGTCAATTATAGCTGTTCTGAAGTTGTGTTTGTTATTCATATAGTTTTCATATATTATATTTTCTTTGGAGAAGATTGTCGCTAATGTTTGAGGTCATTGCCCATTCAATTCATCAGTCCATAGAGAACTTTTACACCTAATACATTATTTAATCAATTGTCTGACTAGGTTCTGCTTGCTGATGGGAGAATCCCCCAATCATTTGCCAGTCAATGCTGAATACACTTTCTTTAACAACAAATTCACCATGATTCTCGGTTTGCAGTTTTGTCTGTCCAATTAAAATGCTCTTAGGCAGTAAATTAGTTTTTCTTTAGCTCAATTTGAAAGTACCATCAGTATGAGTCATATCAAGACGGGGAGTGACGAGAACTTCAAGTGGTGTCTTTTTTTCATTTGCCAAGCCAGGACTCTCAGTCATATCAACTGGGTCGTTTGATGGTTTCATCACTTCAAAACTTTGCAGCAAGCTAGCTAGTGTCAAATTTACTACTTGGAGAGCTAGTGAGATACCTGCACATGATCTTCTTCCACAGCCAAAAGGAATCAATTCAAAATTCAGACCCCTCACGGCTGTCCTTATGATTAGTCAAGAATCTCTCAGGTTGGAACTCATTAGGATTAGACCACACGCTCTCGTCATATTGAATTTTCCAAGCATTCACCATTAGGCGTGTACCAGCTGCTACATGGCAGCCATTTGAAAGGGTGCAGTCTTTATTTGCGGAACGAGGAATAACAGGGCCGGGAGGCTGCACGCGAAATGTTTCCTTAACAATTGCCTGGAGATATACAAGGTTTTTGATATCAGACTCTTCCACATGTCTGTCCTTGCCAACATGGATGTCCCGCTCATCTTGAGCCTTTTTCAACACACGAGGATTGTTGAGTAGTAAAGATAAGGCCCAAGTGAGAGTGGCCATGTTGGTGTCAGATGCTGCCACTAAATTCTGCCAAAATAGGAGTTTGTTCGTAAGCAGATGTCAGACGGTACTTTGAAAAGTCTCCAAGTTGTAGTTCAACACTCGAAAGTCAAAACAAGAAGTAGAACACCAAAACTGCTAAAACCATGGTTTGATTAGCGTCTTTCTGTTTGTAAACTCCTGATAGTGAGCCCTAATAACATGTCCTGTAAAATATAAAATAAAATAAAAATAAAAACCAAATACATATCTCTATTGTCTATTCTCACCATCCAGGCCGAGCTTGAGAAGACAAAAGTCTATACCCTGTCCTAGTTTCCCTATGAAATTAATGTTGGACCTTCAGGTTACATGATTTGCAATAATAATTTCAGGAGACCCTTTTCTTTTACTTGCTCAGTTTTTTAGGGACAGAAAATCCAGGCTCTCAGGTCTCAATAACTCCACTTTGGCCTTAGTTAGTTTTTCAGTTAATTAAAATAAGGAAATAATACCAATTTAAAGCTACAGGCATATGAAGCCTAAAATTTTACAGACTGTTGAGAATATGACAACATGAACACGGGGAAAAGAAGGCCTTGACAGTAATCACAATCACTATTTTCTGGTTTCGTAACTTAAGTACTTACCAGGCAAGTCGCCTTGTAAATGGTATCTGCATCAAAACTAGTTATCTTAGCATCTTCCAGCATGGTCATCATAAAATCCATGAAAGCATATTCCTCCCTTGTTTCTCCAGCTAACTGTCTTCTCTGTTTATGCTCCTCCAGCCATTCTCCAGCAAGAGCGTCAAGTTCCTTTGCAGTTCTCTTCATGGCTTTCTTATATCCTCCAAAATCCAACCACCCAAGAGATGGTATCGCATCAGATAAAACAAATACTCCGAGCATATAAAAGAAATCAGTCATATCAGGCTTTGGCAGCGTCGTATCCTTCCTTTGTCACCATCATCACAGCTCCAGACAACCTTCTCCCTGCCACCATTCTCAGAACCACATTATATGACAAATCTTTAAACCACTGCTTCATTTCGACAAGAACTCCACTTTCTTTGCTGCTGCTGCTTGTGTAAGTCTTGTGCAATTCTTTTATTGAAGTCTGCACTGCTGAAGCTCTTATGTGCTTGAACACATCAAGCCTGTAGTTTGACAGAAGTTCAACAGTAATTATCTTGCGCATCTCGCGCCAGAAAGGCCAGTAAGGAGCGAAGCCGAACATACCATTGTCAAAAATTAAAAGCTTTGAGGCAGCAATGTTTGGTTTGTTAGAGAAAGCTAAATCATGAACAGTAAATATCTCTTTGGCCATTTCCCAATTACTCTCAACCAAAGCTTTGTGTGAACCTAACCTTACAGTGAAGACTGGTCCATAATAGTCAGCTATGTCATTCAGTATTCTGTAAATCAGTTTTCGGCCACCAAAGAGGTGCCTGTGGCCAATAATAGGCCAAGCACCACCAACTTCAAGCACACCACATC